TCTTGATTTTGAAGCTCTTTCTTATGTTCGCTAGGCTTTTAATATTCTGAATACCTTCTATTGCTGCTTTACTGTCTATGTACACTTTGACTTTTGCTTCATATGGCACCACCAACAAAGCTGTCCAAATTGCACCTAGTTCCGCACGAGTTGAGGAGGGCCAATTCTCTATTCTACTACTAAAACTAAAGCTATTAACTTTGTCACCCTTCTTATACATTACCCAACCTATTCCCATTTTTTTGTTCTCGGTACCTCTGATGCTTTCTACAACTAGTGACCCATCTGTATATACCTCTATCTCTTTTCCTCCTCTTATCTCACTTGCAATACTACATAGCTTATACTGAATTCCTGCATCTTTAATTTCTCTTCGAATTATTGTTTCTTCTATTCCCTCTATGTTTATTGCTATGATTTCTGATTCTTTACAGGGGTTCCCACCTGAGCCTTCGAATACCTCTGCGCATGCTGACAAGGGTATGCCTATGCACGTTGTGCCTTCTTTGCTACCTATACAATCTATTACTTGATGCTTGTATTCTTGTTTTTGCCGAATTGTACAACACCCCTCCTGAGACTCCTTAACTGAACACCCTTTACACTTTTCGATTATCGTATCTCCTTCTCGATTCTCCTTTATTATTTGCCAATGCTCTACATCAATGCACTTGCGTTTCTTTTTAATTACTTTACCAATCTCGATGCTCTTGTCCTTTTCGAATACGATCCATTCCCTCTTTCTTCTGTCTTGTGAGATTCTTACGTAGTTATACGCTATTGCTTGTTGATTAGGGGCTGCTACTTTATATTTTCCTTTAATTTCTCTTGAGCTACTTTCTGTCAATACTTCTAACTCTATACTTTTAAACCAGCTTGGCTTTCGTCCTCTTTTCTTTAGACCTCTGATTTTACGTAATTGCTTCCAAGTTATAAGTTTATCTCCTTCCCTTGTTAATAACTGCTCTAGTATAAAAATGTTTAAACTAGTGCTTTTTTTGTAACTATGCAGCTCTTTCTCTGTAATTATGCCTCGTATACTTGTTCCCTCTATCTCCAAGGCATCCTTATCTAAACTTCTCTCCTGGAAGCTAATACCAAGCTTTTTTGCCTCATGAGCTATTCTGTATGCCAGGTTATGTTTAAGTTTCCTGCAGTCTAGCTTACTGTTGACGTCAAGAATATTTTTTATATACAAGCACTCTAGCTGAGCTTCTTTTATTCTCATTCTTGTTGTGATTCCCACTTCATCTTGTTTATTTAGCCGTATTGCTAGTTCTGTGAAGTGGTGTGCTAATTGATTTTGCCATAGTGTGCGTAATCCTAGTATCTTAATATGACTGCACATACTATTAGGGGCTGACTTTGCTAGACCCAGCTTGTTCTTAATTAAAACCCAAATAGGCCTTTGCATACGCTCACATGCTGCTTTTGTAAGAAAAGAAGTCTGCAGTCTATACTCTATACTTGGCATTAGCACATTGTTATTTAAGTAGACTAATTGACTCGCTGAGGCTTTTTTCCAAAAAATTGCTTTACACATTCTTGCAACCTCTTTTTCGATAACTGCTTTGTTGCAATCTCTTTCACCTTTTCCTGAGATCCACACTCCTAGATGTCTGACCATCTCTTTCTTTTTCTTTGCTCGTACTGGCTCTTTACCACTTCCTATACTAATTGCAAGCTCGTTGCCCTCTGAAGTCTTCTTACTTTTAGCATTTAGTACTAGCAACTCAGACTTCTTGCTATTTATTTCTATGTCATTTATGCTATAGAACTCTGACGAAATGTTAATTATTTCTTGCATTTCTTTTCTACTTTTTGCTATCCATGTGGTATCGTCTGCATATGCCAGAACATTCTGCTGCCAACATGATCTTTGACATTTATTGTTTTTAAGGTCGTATGGCCAATCTAATTCCATTTTATATCCAAGATTCTTAGCACTGCTAATTTCACAGAGGAGTGGATCATAAAATATACGCCACATGAGAGGGGAGCACACCTCCCCTTGGTCTAGCCCATCTTCTGCTATAAACTCATCCATCACACCATATTCTGTGATGACTTCGATCTTTCTTCTATTGTACAAACTTAAAAAAAATTGGATACCCATTTCTGGTATTTTAATTCTCTCTAGTGCTTTTCTTAACATTGTTAGGCTAACTGAGTCAAATGCCTTTTTCATGTCCTGAAACAGCACCCAAATCTCCTTCTTTTTTTGATTTGCCTCCTCGAGAATATTATTTAAAATGTGTATTGGATTTGCTGTACAGCCCGTGATAATCCTGCATAATTTGGGCCTTTTAAGATGTTATGTTTAACGATTATCTGATCTAATCTCTTAGTGATTATTCTTACTACTGTTTTTCGAAATGTTTCTAGCAGGACTATTGGTCTGACATTTGATAGATTAAAATTTCAATCCTCATTTTTCGGAATTGGGTATAACTTTCCCAATTTCCATTTAGCTGGAATATCTCCACTATTAACACATTTCTCTGCCAAGATTATAAACACTCTTTGTGCTAAATTGCCAGCTTTTTTAATGAGTGGGTAGCTGATACCCGATGAGCCTGGTGCTGAGTTATTGCTCGCTTTACTCAATGCTTCTGACCATTCTTTTTCTGTTATCTTATTCATCACATTCTCATATACCTTCTCATCTATCTCTTTTATTGGCTTGTATGCATTAACCCATCTATCTGATAATTTGCCTGATGCGCTTTTCCTTTTATGAAATTGGTCTGCAAAGTGAGCTTTGACTTCATTTAGCACCTCTTCTTCTTCGGTAAGTAATACTTTTTCTTCTCCTACTACTTTTAGTATCCTGTCTATTTTTATCTTTCTCGATGGCCGCTCTAGTAAGCTGTTAAGCATATGCTTTAGTTTTCCTTGTATCGCTTCACAGCGTGAGTCGATACATTTTTTTATTGCTGTTACTCTTGCTTTCTCTCTTTCTTTTTGTAGTCTCTGATACAATATTTTCCACCATCTTTTTGTATCGAGTTCTCTTTCTCTAGACCAGCATCTTTCCGATAAGTTGTCTATTTCTAGTTCATGCTTTTTGTTAATACTGGCTGTTTCTTTATTAAACTGTTCTCTGTCGTGATCACTAATACCAGTGTTTGTCTTCTCATGACACTTGTGACACCATTTTCCCAGTATCTTCAAATCATGTTGAGTACCATTATTCTTGTTATAGCTGCCAATCGGTCTTGTATTTGCTGATACCTTTTTGTTTGGTAATGTTACGTATGCACTACTCAAGATGCTACTGGCGATAATGTCCCATAGTGCATTCTTGTCTAGTTCTTTGCATCTTTTTTCTACATCTTGCATTTTATTTTTTGTCTTTAACCTTTTTATTATCTCTTCGTTGAGTTTAGTCTTGTAATTTTCCCACTCTTCCTCTTGGGCTTTGTCAGTTAGTATAATTCTTTTCCTCCCCTTTAGCCTTTTTTCTCTTGCTAATGGCTTCCTCTTATCTATGATACCTGTACCCAGTCTTGCTATCACCACACTATGATCACTATTCGTAATGCATTCTGACTCAGCATTTTCCCAACTGATAATGCTCTGGCTTAACGTACTGGAGGCCCATATATAATCGATCCTAGTACTATAAGTACCATTTGACCACGTGAACTCTCTCTTCTCAGGATGCATCTTTCTAAAAATATCCTCTAGATCTGAGTTTTCTAACCATTTTAGCAATGGGAGTGACTGTTTTCCATTCTGTGCTTCTTTGTTCTTATCCAACTCCTTGTCTCTCATGCTGTTAAAATCTCCCATGACGATAACTTTGGTTCTGTTTCTTCTGCATTCCAGTACTTTTCTGATTACTTGTTGTTGAACTTTCTTCTTCTCTTCATTATCATTTGGGGGAATATAGATACAGATTACTACTAGTTTGTATCTAGTGAACGAAAATAACGCTTCAATATAATAGCTGCTGTATCTTGTGATCTGTGCTATGTGCTTTTCCCAATATCTACTAATAACTAAACCTACGCCTGATCCTTTTACCTTGCCTTCTTTTGCTTCCGTCCAGTAACCTATATATTCACTATTTTTTCCAATCAAATATCTTCCCTGTTTTTCGGAGATATTTGTCTCGTTAATACCCAATATATCTACCTTCTTTTCTTTTGCCCATTCTAATAGGATCTCTAATTTTTGGCTATTAATCTTTAGACCGTTAATGTTATGTATGCCTACACTAATTGTATTAAAACTTTTTCTATTAATATCTGCTCTTCTCTGTTCTATCACTCTATCCTGTAATTGTTTATTCTCATTATAGCCTCTAATTGGTAATGACTCTTTAATGTTTAGGCTATTTTTAGAGTCACACCTCTTCTTTAAGATGCCTGTAGCGCCCTTTTTTAGGAGCGATTGGGAGCATCTGCTCCCAAATGCCTATTCTCAATTCTTTCTAATCTGCCTAAAATTTCTGTCAGAATTTGTTCATAACTACTATTCACTGCCTGTGTTTTATGCTCTGTTGCTTTTCCCTTGCCTTTATTGCACTCTTCTGTTCTGTCCTTATTGTGCTCATCTACTTTATTTGGCTGTACTACTTTACTTATTACCTTTCTACCTAAACTATTACTCTTGTTCCACCTATTCTGAACACCCACATTACTGTTATTTTCTTTGTTTGGTTCCTTGTATATGTTGCGGGTTCTCTCACTACTTTCCTTGTATTTTTGTTTTTTGTCTAGATTTTGCATACTATTAGTTTCTTCTTCGTTTGTTTGTCTTCTATGCTTTCTCTGCCCCTCCACCCAGTCATTATTCACTGTTTTTTCTGCTGAGGGTCTCCAATCTAACTTGGTATTGTAGTAGTATACACCATATCTTTGAGCTAGCATAAGGTCTTCTTTTGTTTTAAAGAAAATATGCGCTCTCCTACTTTGATTGCCATTACAGTTTTTAGGGATATATACTGCTTGCACCTTGAATTTCTTTAGTTGTCGCAGAAGTAAACTATCGTAGGCGCTAGTGGGGATATTGTAAATTGTGCTTCTGTATTTGTTTCTTTTTTCTTGCTCTGTAATATTAAATTCCCCGGGTGTTGTTCTATATGTTTTTCCTTGGTCTAAGTGGATCGACCAGTTTTCTCTTAATGAATTTTCCTTTTTTCCATCACTTGTTACTATCTTGATGAAAGCTGCTTTAGTTTTGAAGTTTTGCCGCCATGCCAGAATGGTTGCTGTCCCATAGTAGTTAAGATATCTTTTAATTTCCTCTGTTTTTATTTCTTTGGGTAGATCCCATAATGTGAACATATACTGAGATTCGTTCGGGTTTTTTTGTGAGATGAATTTGCCTTTAGGAGCCCATGATGAATTGTATATATCTTCATGTTTCTTGTACTTCTTGTTGTTGTTTTTACTTGGGGTTTTTCCTTCTTTTTGTGCACTGTTTTCAATGAATTCTTTGATCCCGTAGTCTAGTATTCCACACTCTTTTTGTATTAAGGCGCTTTTCACAATATTGCCTTTGACACTCGTATCTCGTGTATTGTTTTCCGGCTCTGTATGATTTCTTTTTCGTGAGCTATTTTGTAATTCAACCTCCATGTTAATTCTACTTTCTTCATCTATATCTTGCATTTGAAACTTTTCTGTGTTTATGTACATATTCTCTTGTTCAATTGCTTGTGGAGTTGTGATTACTTTTGTGTCTAATTTGCTGTTACTTTCATTAAAATTTTCCTGACTAGCTATTGTGTCTATGACATCTATCTGCATGCTATTACTATGTCCATCACTAATTAGTTCTTCTTCTTCTTTAGATAGACTTTGTTCTCTTATCTTCTTGTGTTGAGCCCATTCATAGTGATGTAGAGCGTTTCGTATAATAGCAATAAGGTATATATCATTTGTACCTAAGTAGTTAGCGACTTTTTTGTCTTCTTCCAGAGTCATCTTCCTTTGCTTTTGGATTATCACTTCTCTTTCCTCTTCTGTTTTCTTAAAGAAATTTTTATAATCTTTAAGCTCCATTTCTCTTTTCCTAGTCGGGATTGAATGTTTATGTATAGTCTATGCTAGAAACTTCTAGAAACTAGTTGTTGTTATTGTGTATCTAATATGATTCCAGCACGTGCTTGTTTGTTTATTTATCTATCACTATTGTATCTCGTGTACTTGTTTGTTTACTTGTTTATTTTCCCAAATTGGGCACAGTTGATATTTAGTTTGTTTTCGCGTTTGTTTACTCGCCAAATTTAGACTATTGTTTACTTGTTTACTTTTTTCTAAGTAAACAGATCGACTTTACAGGGTCAATTAGTATTCCCCAGAAATTGCAAAAACTGCAAAAAATTTTTGCCAAAAGCTAAACTTTCTACTTTATAGCTCCGTACGAAGCTTTGTATAAGTTGTGTTTTTAATAAACTCCTGTTTATTTTTAATACTCTTTCTGTTTGCTTAGTAGTAATTTAGTTGTTTACTATACTTGAACTGAGTCTGCTGTATGTATTTTCTTTAGTCGTAATTTTGTACAGAGGATTAGCGGAAAGAGTTTTGGATTTTTTTTTTTTTGTTTATTTATTTATTTTATTTTATTTTTTTTAAATATAAACTAACAACTTCTTTAATTTCTTCTCTTTATAGATCTTTAGGTTCTTGGCTGTCAGAATGCGAAGTTAAACTTGAGAATTTAGATTAGAGTAGGAGAATGATGAAAAATGAGCAGTTTATGAAGTTATTATATAATCAGATCTCTTGAGATTATTCAGTAACAACAAACACTTAGAGAATAATAGAAAAAATACATTACAGTATTATAGAGATCAAGTTCAGTCAGACCTCTTTAAGCATATGCTTTTGAGACTACACTTTAACAATATGTGCTTAAATAATAAGAAAAAGTACATTTAAAGAGATTATGTGCCAGAATTTAAGCATGTATTAGAGAGAGCATACACTTATAACAAGTACACTTAGGGAGGTCTGACTATATTAAGAGTATGCACTTATAGAGGTCTGACCATAGTTGCATGATACAGATTATGCAATATTATAATTGATTGCTACGTTTATTGTAGGAACTGTATATAGTTGTAGGATATTAGTATATTATTTGAGATTTGTGTATTGTATATTAATATATTGTTTTTTATTTCAATAAAAAATAAAATAAAATAAAATAAATAAAATACTATCATATTACATTTGAAATTATAAAAATCTATAGTAGTGGGTCCTAATTGCTATTCTATTAAACCAACTTGCCCCAAATCGCATTTTAACTAATTAACAAAAAAAAAATCTGTAAAAAAAAAGTAAAAAGTGTTAACTTTCGGTTTTAAAAAAAATCAATCCTAAATAAGAATACACTCAGCTTGTTTAAGCTAAATCTCTTCATTAAAAAAAAAAATATTTATAAGTATCCAAAAACTACAAATAAAATTTTTTTGTATACTTGCTTAAACTCAACAAATAACAAAGTATTTAAGTGCATGCCCTCTCTAAATATATACTTAAATTCTGGCTTAAATATATACATTACCTCTATAAATATATTTTTTCATATTATTATCCAAGTGTATATTGTTAAATGTAGTTCTAAGAGCATGTATCTAAAGAGATACAACTGTATTTATCATTACAATCTCTTGCCCAAATCTAGTTCAAGTTTCAACACACATTTTAACAAGTTAAAAATCTAAAAATTTTTAAGTAAAAGAAGTTGTTAGTTTATATTTAAAATAAAAAAAAAAGAAAAACCAGAACAAGAGTGAGACTAATATAGTTAGATTTCTCTAAATATATCCTCTATAAATGCACATCTTCTTCAAATGTATGCTTAAATTCCAGCCCAAATACTGTATGCTTGACTTTTATAAATGTATTTCTTCTTATTCTCTGAGTATATATTATTAAAGTGTGATCTCAAGAGTATGTACTTAGAGAGGTCTGAATGTATTTTATATATAATCAAAGATTAAAATTATTCAAGATATTTTTAGTCCAAATATATACTAAATAAAGTTATTTATAAGAAAAAATTTTAATATTGATATAGTACTTGTATGGTATTTATACCATATATAGTGCTTATATAGCTTATAGCAAAAAATTTTCACATTTCCAAATTAGGTTTTTTAATAATAAATTTCCATCATATTTACTTAGTGATTGCAGATTATTTTCTTCAGGTGATTTGCGGATTATCAATTAAGCTATCTCAGCAAATATTGGGCCAATTTTGATAATTTAACTACTATTATGACCAAAATAATCTGCTGAACCCATTTTTATTGCAAGTTTGCAAATTTACTTAATATATTTCGCAACTATTCTCATTTTTTTAAAATTCAAAAAATGTATAAATATTATAATTAAACTATTTCTGTGAATATTGGGTCAATTTTGATGATTTAACTACTATTATGACCAAAATAATCTGCTAAACCCTATTTATTATTGCAAGTTTGCAAATTTATTTAATAAATTTTGCAACTATTCATATTTTTTAAAATTTAAAAAATGTATAAATATTATAATTAAGCTATCTCAGTAAATATTGGGCCAATTTTAATAATTTAACTACTATTATAACTATAATAATCTGCTAAACTCTGTTTATTATTAAAGTTTACAATTTACTTAATAAATTTTACAACTATTTGAATTTTTTAAAATTTAAAAAATATATAAATATTATAATTAAGCTATCTCTGTGAATAATGAGCCAATTTTGGTAATTTAACTACCAATATGACCAAAATAATTTGCTAAACCTCATTTTTATTGCAAATTTGCAAATTTACTTAATAAATTTCACAACTATTTGTATTTTTTAAAATTTAAAATATTATGCAAATATTGCAATTCCTGCACAATATTATTTTTTTTTTTTCAGTATTAAGGTGACCTCTTTGGCCTGGTAACTTTTTATTAGTAATCATTAGTTATTATAGTTACAATAAAGATACAAATAGCCATACATGCACCTTTTGGGTGCATATTTAAGTAGTCTGCCTGTAGGTTTTACACTAGATGTCGTACCTATAACTCAACTAGGGAGTTATCCTTTTAAACCTTTTAATCCTAACTGTATTTATAACCTATTATACTAACCCGGGAACTACTATTTGGCACATTCTTTTAGATTTTGCATCCTGCCTTAGGACTTTTGTGACTTATTCTGGGTTTGCACTGACTAATTACCGGCTTGCATTCTTCCATTAAGTGGATGCATAACTATCTACAAAGTAAACCTACCAGAGCTTTCTCTATTCCATTTTGGGCCAACCTGGTTTTGTGCAGTTGCCAAGACTTCTACTTGCAGTTGGGCTATTATCTATTTAACTGCTTTTGCCCTTATAAGATTTGCTTTCCAACCCCAATACCTATATTCAGACCTTTCCTTTTTCTATTATTTCCTTATTAGTCTATCTCTTACTTCCAACTGATGACCCGGAAGATTCGACCTTGGCTTGGTATTAGGTACCTGGTGCCCTTGTCTCATCTTGCTACATGATTTCCCAGCACATGTTCTTTTCCTCCAGTTTGGTTGGCTGGTCCTCTAGACATGCCTGGCATTTTTGCATCCAACTGGTTTCCTGTCCGACTTCTATAGCCCCTGGTCTTGGTAGGTAGGGCCTCTATTACTGGTTTCTCACGC